GGTTCTCTTTTTCTTTTTTTTTTTTTCGACTTTCTTTTATAGGATTGTTCGTTTTCTCCTTCTCTTCTTCTGTCCTCCTGTCTCTGATTGCTGGTTTGCAGGTTCTATTGTCAAGGTTCTTTGATTTCAGTTTCACTCAGTTCGCCTTCTCAGTTCCTACCATGGAAGAATATATAGTCCTCAAATTGGGGTCGGTCCAACTCTCTGGAAAAGAAGTAGAAGAAATTTCAATTGAACCGAGTGGATATCAAAATTTTGAGGAATGTAGCTGCAACTTATTTGGAAAGGTTATTGGGCAGAAACGGGCCAATTTGTTAGGGCTGAAAAGAGTCGCGGTGCGAATTTGCCAAATTAGGGCTGCAGTTGTGGTTAAAGAGCCGATCGGTCGCCTCGAACGGCTCGGATAGCTCATCTTCCCAAACTCGGCAAAATGGATCTAATCAACCTCAAAAGCGACGAGAAAATATGTCGAAGCACAAAAACACAAAACTAGAGAAAAAATACACGAAATACGAGAAAATGGACCGGTGAATACTAAAATGAACCTAAAAAGACTCAAATAAAGCACATAAAACACATGAAAAATACCACAAAAACACAACAAACAATCCCTATACATAATCTAATTCTAAAAAATGAGGCCCAAATCCACAACCCGTTTTTGCCAACTTTGGGCTTCAGTCAAGGACATGAGGGACCCTCTGACGACGCCGGTGTGGCCCCTGCCGACGGACAGTCGCAGAGGCGACGTGCGGCCGCTCGCGACGGCCTCGCCGGCGAGCTTTGACCTCCAGACGACCGAGAAGTCGGACATGAGGAGATGTCTGTCGACGCCAGGCTTGATGACTTATCCGTCGATGTCGGACCTGGTGAGCTCTCCGTCGACACCGGTGCAATTCTGCCGACCGCCAGGTGCAAGGGCGTGTGGTAGCACGCGTCGGGCTCGCCGTGAGCTCTGATCTCCGACGAAATACGTCCTCCAAGAAGTTGACGTGGCTGGTTACGGTGACCGGCGACGGCGGGACGTCCACGGCCGTGGCCGGTGGCTGTTGTCTGGTGACGAGACATCAACAGTGGTGGCTAGTGGCCGCGACGAGGTATGCGGTGGTCGGAGGTTGTCACAGCCGGCATGTGTGTGTGGTGTCGTTTGAGTTGTGTGTGTGTAAGAGATGATATGTGTACTCTGTGTGTGCGCGTGTGTTGTGTGCATTTGTTGGGTGTGTGGTGGCGATGATGTGGCATGATGATGTGGGTGGTGAGTGTAATGGTAATGTCCAAATTACGACTAAGGTGTAATTTTGACTTTTTTTTAGCCATTAGATCATCCGATCTAATGGATATAATTTATTCTTATTTTTTCAGTAGGTATCACTTTCATTTCACTAGTGGAAAAAACACTTTTTACATCGGTTAAAAATCATATTCACATCGGTTAAAACCCATTTTTAAAACCGATGTTGAAACAGGCGATGTTAAAAGTCTGTCTTTTTTACATCGGTTACTAACCGATGTGAAAAAAAACTTGTTTACATCGGTTTGCCAAATAACCGATGTTATAAGGGAAAAAAATAAGTCTCGAAAATAGAAAAAATCGATTATATTAACATCGGTTGTATAAAAACCGATGTAAAATAAGACATTTAACATCGGTTTGTATAAACACCGATGTAAATAAAGAAATATAACATCGGTTATCGACGAAACCGATGTAAATAAAGACATATAACATCGGTTACCAAAATAACCGATGTTAATAAAAACATATAACATCGGTTACCAAAATAACCGATGTAAATAAAGACATATAACATCGGTTATTGGCAAAACCGACGTCAAACATTTTTGTCGAAATAGTCTTTTTGCATCGGCTTTATAAAAACCGATGTAAAATAAAACAACAATTTTATTTAAATATACAATTTTTTTACCTATAAATCTAAAAATCTATTACTGCAAAATAATAACATTCATACATTCAAAATATTCTCACAAGTCAACAAAAACCCACATGACAAATACTAACAACCAAAATATTTCAACACCACCAAGTTATAACAATAATTTTCATATGCAGTACACCAACAATAAGTCATCAACCACAGTTATAAAGTTCAGATTCCATAAAACGTAAGCAAACTGATAAGTCTATTTTCCTAATGAAGTAACCTCAAGAAAGTACTTCGACCACCGCATTTTTATATTTTCAATGTCCTCGTCCGAGTATGGCTCATCAATGTTGAAAGCCTACATGATACAAACAAATATTAACATAGTTAGAAATTCTCATGATCACAAAAAACAGCAGCAAGCAAGCAAGAAGAGATGACAAGTGAACTTTTAGCCGTATTGTACATAATACAAGGTTATTATTACCTCATAGAATCGAAACAGTGTAAAATGCATTCTTGATAAAATCAAATATAGAATCCAGTTTACATGATTTGAATTCACCAGTTCTCACATTCCAATATGGATTTTCAATTCCTTAATATGGATTTACATCGGTTCCGCATAAAACCGATGTAATAAGTGTCGCCCAGCTACTCGTTCACATCGGTTGTCTAAGAACCGATGTTCCAAACTGAAATTTTATATTGTTGACATCGGTTTCGGCAAAACCGATGTCAACATCTGATGTGAAAAGTGTTTTTTACATCGGTTTTGTAATTTTATATTGTTGACATCGGTTTCGGCAAAACCGATGTCAACATCTGATGTGAAAAGTGTTTTTTACATCGGTTTTGACAAAACCGATGTAAACTGCCGATGTGAAAAGTGTTTTTTCTACTAGTGTTTGAACTCAACCATTTATATATATAATATAGGAGAATGCTACACAAGTCCCGTTGCATTATAGTTCCGTTGGTGTTTTTAACCGTAGATACACATGTAGATCTGTGATGTGTAGATAATCTAGGGTTAAAAACACCGACGGAAACATAGTATAATGGGACTCGTGTAGCATTCTCCTATGTATATATATATATATATATATATTCTATTGAATTAATTTAGTCCCAGAGTATATATAGTACATGAAAAGAGGCGGAGATTTGTAGGGCGTGTGTATCAGTGTATGTTTGAACGCAGTCTGTGCATGTAGAAATGGTTTTCATTTAGCCATCTCATCTCTTAGTTTATGCACCAACGAAGACAATTAGAAAAAATAACAAATAAATAACTAATAAAACTTTGCTTTTTTTAAGCAGAAAAGGAAACTACTTCGAAGGAAAGTTGGCCTAAAAGGAGGAAAACAAAATACACAAAGTACGTAATCCACATATTAAAAAAGGCTTTATAGTTCCACTTTTCTTTTATTTGTTGTTCTCTTTACTCTTTCTCATTTTCTTCCTCCAAATCTAGATATTGCATGTCCTTATCTATATCTCATACAAAGAGCATGACCGATTCCATTGATCATCTTTCGAATTCCCTTTTTTATTTTTTTGCGTTAATTAATGTTGTTGAATTTCTTTGCATCTAATATAGCTAGCTAGCTCCAAGAAAAGCATGGAGAGGGAGAAAACTCGAAACAAGAAGAGAAGGAGAGATGGAGGAGAAGACGAGAAAAGGTCCCACAAGGGCAAGAAACAATATGAATTATCTGACAGGTTTGGTATATTTGATTTTCCTTGGCTCAAAGAAGGCATCTCTTTTACAGCGGACGAGTATTTGAAACCCGAAGAGAATTTATTGGGTCCTTGTTGGTACATGGACGAGGTTTCCGGGAATTTTGCAACTACTTCTCATCAATTGCATGATGTATATAATATCCATGACAAGAAGTTAGATGACCAAGGCATTTGGTCTTTACAAGTCGATGGTTTTGAACCCATAGATTGCATTTGGAGTTGTATTGATCAACCTCTTGACATAGGTATGAACAAGGGTTAGACAATTGGTTTTGATGGTCAATGTAAAAAACTTGTGCAGATTAGATATTCTTGCGTTCTTATTATTTTTAGTTTTCCTTGTCTTTTT